AATATCATTATATTCTTAGAACTGTATCTATGAACTATATTGAATCTATTAAAAACTAAAAAAGAAAAAAGATTGAGTGAATAAAAATAGGTTAAAAAGTACAAGTTCCATATGATTCAATCCATGTGTATTTTGAAAACACAGAAAGCAACAATATATGTATTATGTGCATAAACCTACTTACTGAAAATAATATTAGGGGCTGGCGTTGTGGCACAGTGGGTTAAGCCACCACCTGAGATGCAAGCATCCCAGATGGACGCCAATTGGAGTCCTGGCTGCTCCACTTCCAACCCAGCTCCCTGCTAATGCATCTAGGAAAGCAGTAGAAGATGGCCTAAGTACTTGGAACCCTGCCATCCACCTGGAAGGCCCAAATGGAGTTTCAGGCTCCTGGATCCCGCCTGGACCAGCCCTGGCTGATAAGACCACTTGGGGAGTGAATCAGAGAATAGATCTTCCTTGTGTTCCTCCTCTCTCTCTGTAACTCTGTATTTCAAATAAACAAACAAATAAATATTTTTTAAAAAGAAAATAATATTAAAAAGTAAAACAAAGAGAAAGGAAAAATGTGTACTAATTTCAGGCTGGTGATTACCTCTGGGGTCAGAAAGAAGAAGCACCCTGGCCATGAGATTTCCAGTTATATTTCATATTATTAAATTTAAAAAGATTTGATACCTTTCTAAGATCTCGGTGATGAGTACATGAACTTGAGTCATATTTCCTCGTACTATGTACTTCCAGATATACTTCTCTGTGTCTTGAAACAGGTCATAACTCTAAAAGAAAAAGCTGATGTGAGGAGCGAGCCCAGCCCACATGGCTTTTGTGTCCTCAACAGTACAAGTCAAGGTCTCTGAGTCTGGACACACCAACGGGAGGGCGAGAAGTATCTTCCTGAACGCATTCCCCCAGCAGCCTCGGCCTCACAAGCAACAGAGATGGGAGTCCTTCTCAGCCCAGCGCCATCCGCCTCCGTCAGGAACAGCCGCAATCACACTGAAGCATTGGGTTTTCCCTAGGCCTTAATGTCAAGCGGTGTTGCCAGCTTTCCCCCTTGCTGTTAACTTGCTGGGTATTTTTAAGTGAACTCCAGGATAACCTATATTGGCCGCTAGTATGCTACCATGGTTTCACCTGGAGCTTGCCGTAATGAGTCAGTTTACATGAATCCATTCGTGCCGAGGTTCTGAAGACACTGGTATTCTTCCCTCAGAGCTGATCAGTTCCCCTGCAGCAGAAAACATCTTGTTTGTCTTTGTGTCTTCAGCACCTGGCACAGTGCCTGATGACGTCAATCAACACAGACACCTGTGTTCAAGATGTAGCGACAATTCAGAAGTGTGGACAATTGAACAGTATAAAGGAACAAAATCCAAGGAAAAAAGCCAAAGGAAAAACTGTTGATGAAAATTGTATCTTATAATGGAACACTTTTACTACAAATTAGGACAATTTTGGCACTATGCTCATTTCTCAATGTGGGTTAATTGTAAGATTTAAACATTATTTTATAATGCATAGTTTTGAAGTCCATTGACCTAAGCTTTCCCACTGAAGGCCTTCATGGCTTATTGCCTTTTTTCTTTAATTTGTTCCAACTTCTTTACCAAATTTCAAACTGACAAAAAAAGTAACCAAAAAAATGAGCACCTTGATAATCTTCACCCAGAAAAAAGCCTTTTATAGCTATTTTCCCCCATCCAGGACTCAATGAAGGGATCATGCATTGAGTTTGATTTTTCCTGTGTCTTTAGTCTCTTTTAATCAATAAGTAACCACACACACATGCACACACACTCGTGCACATTTTTTATTGCTATTCTTTATGGCACTAGCATGTTTAAAAAGCCCAGGTGATTTGCCTTATAAAATGTCTCCCAATTTGAGTTTGTCTGATGGCTTGTTTGCTTTTAGATGAAGGGTAAGCACGTTTCACAAAATGGTGCTTAGGTGATTTTGTGTGTGTCAAAAGATGTGTGTATCAGGTGGCACAGCATGTAAAGCTGCTATCTGAAATGTCAGCATCCCATACGGGCGCTGGTTTCTGCATTGGCTGCTCCAGTTCTAATCTAGCTCTCTGCTAATTGCCTGGGGAAAACAGTAAAAGAAGGCCAAAGTGCATGGGCCCCTGCTACCCGCATTAGAAGAAGCTTCTAGCTCCTGGATTTGACCTGACCCAGCTCCAGCCATTGCATTCATCTGGGGAGCAAACCAGCAGATGGAAGATCTCTCTCTGTGACTCTCCTTCTTTTTCTGTCTCTGACTTTCAAACAAACAAATAAATTTTTAAAAATGTGTATATCATCACTAAAAATATGATGTCTGGGGCTGGCACTATGGCAAGGAGGTTAACCCTTCGCCTGCAGTGCCAGCATCCCATATGGACCCCAGTTCTAGTCTCAGCTGCTCCACTTCTGATCCATCTCTCTGCTGTGGCCTGGGAAAGCAATGGAAGATGGCCCAAGTGCTTGGACCCCTGCACCCATGCAGGAGACCTGGAAAGAAGCTGCTGGCTCCTGACTTCAGATCAGTTCAGCTACGGCTGTTGTAGTCATCTGGGGTGTGAACCAGCAGATGGAAGACCTTTCTGTCTCTCCATCTCACTGTCTGTAACTCTACCTCTCAAATAAATAAATAAAACCTTTAAAAAATATAATGTCATTTTGTTCCCATATTAATTATACTAAATTTGATGACTCAGTTAAGGTAATCACCAGATCACTCCAGTAAAGGTACTGTTTTCTGTTTGTAATTTAATACTCTGTGAGCTGACATTTTCAGACTCTGAATGCCCTGTTAACCGAGTGAACATATGGCCATTGATGAATCTTGGCTAAATTGATCATTACATGTTACAAATAATGGTTCTCTAAATCTATCACACATTCTACATTTATTATCTGACATCCTTCTGTAAGTTTTCTCTCCACACACCTTTATTTATTTTTTTCAGTATATTTTAATCCATTACCACTATTATGATTTTGATGTACAAATTGCCCCACCTTTAGTCAATAGAGCTCCTCCAAACACTTCTGAATTGTTTTGATGCAATTCTGTAACAGCTGAGCACTTCTTTCTTTCCAACCCAACAATACAAGGGTACTTCAAAACACTCATAGAAAATAGAATTAAAAGATGTTTACTTTGGTCCAAAAAAGTTGAAATCTGTACATAGTTTTTTCATAATATCCATTTTCCTTGAACCTTTTGAAGACCCTCCATCTGCATGGATTTCAAAATGTTTTCACTTTAAGAAACTTATCTTGTAATTCCATTTTCTCACAAACTTTTTGGAGTACTCTCATAGATGTGTCAGGCTCACCACTGCAGGAAAGCAATGTGGCTCCCCTTCAACCAGTTCTTCATACTGCAGTCAGAGTGATCTTCACAAATGCTAAGCTGTTCACCTCCACCTCGTACCCCTTGCAAAGGGGTCCTTGTGCAGGGAGACATTCACACAGTTCACAGCACACTGAAAACCATTTGGTGACTGCCTCTTGGTTCCAGAATAAAGGCCAAAATCATTAGCATAACCAAAAAGACCCTCAGATGGCCTGACCTTTCCCTATACTCTTGTCTCATTTTGACCACTTTACCCAGCTCCCCGCAATTCATCAGCACGGACCTCAAACATGGCACGCTTTCTCCCATTACAGACTTTTGGGTGCTCTGCTCACCCTGTTGAAAACAGCCTCCTCCTCTTCCCAGTCACTTGGCATATCAGATACCCCAGATGCCCCAGCCCCCTACCATGCATGGCTGTAGTGCCCACTCCATGGGAGTTTTGACACTGTGTGCTCACAACTTCTTGCCCCTGGCATTTACCATGACCTTTTTATTCTTTCTGCCCCAAGGCTTCTCAGGGTTAGCAACAGCAGAAGCACACTTGATAACAGGCATGCGCAACCCAAATATGTGAAGTAGTTCTATCTCCCAAGAGCAACCCTTAGCCATGATAGGGGCGATGGCAAATGGTACGTCAAGACCTTCTCCCCCTGAGAGCCATCTTACCAATACTTCACATCATCTCTCACCCCTTCACTCCATCCCTGCCACACCAGGGCACTCTCTGCACTACAAAGTGTCTTCTCCTGTCCAGTCTCAGCCTGTAACATTTTTATTGATGACTCGGGACCCAGTGTTAATGGCACTGCTTCACTGAAGCCTTTTCTGTTAACGCCAATCAAAAGTCACTATCATTTCTCCATGGGCCCTAAATAAGTGCTTTGTTTCTACTCAAATATTTTCCTATCCACTTTCTTCTACAACAAGACATCTTGATAGACTGGTAACTTTTTGAGTGAAAGGTCTTGTTTTGAGCTAAAACTTGTCCTCCCCAAAATTCATATATTGAAATCCTAGCCACCGGCACCTCAGAATGTGACAAATGAGAGATAAAGCCTTCTTGGGGTAACGAAGTTAAAAGGGGCTCTTTAGGATGGGCCCTAAATCAATATGACTTCATTTTCATAAGAAGAAATTTAGACACAGCATATGTAGAGAGAAGACAATGTGGAACAATGAGAAGGCAGCCACCAACAAGCCCAGGAAAGGCCTAGACCGGATCCTTCTCTCAGAGCTCCCAGGAGGAACCACACCTGCCAACATCTGACTTCTAGCTTCAGAACTTCAGAATTAGCTTCTTTTTTATGAAGACATTTTTCTTATTTTTGATAAAACACAGAAAAGACAGGTTTTCAGGTCTAACGTTCCGAGAGCTGACTAGAAAGTGGGTCCTGTCCCCTGGCTCGAGGCTCTGGGGTGCAGACGGTGAGAAGGTGGGTCTTGTCTCACAGCTGCACGAGGCAGGAGGTCTGTCCTCCGGCAGGGACAGGTCCCAGGGCCCCCACTGTTCTGGTCCAAGTGCCTCCAGAGATGGCCCCTCCTGGCTGTGCACCGAGCCCCCTGCAGGGCTGCTGGGCGAGGGGGCTTCCAGCCGCCCCCGAGTCTGCCCGAGGCGTCGAGTGTCTGTGCGGGGGGTGGGGGGGCGGCTAGGCCTCGGAGGAGGACCGTGGGGCTCCCCGGAGCAGATGGGCATGGTAGGTGGGGGAGCTGAGGAAGCGGGGGTAGGAGTCCCAGTGCATCAGCGTGTAGATCTGCAGCTGCGCGCCGTCGAACGTGTGTGCGGACGGCTCCTGCATCTTTCTGTTGATGCCTTCCCGCACCCGGGAATCCAGGCTGACCTTCTTCAGGGACAGGATGGACACGTAGTCCTCGTAGATGAGCCGCACCTTCTCGTCCACCACGTGCTGGTTGCCCACGGCCTTGAGCTCCTCGCAGGCCAGCCAGAAGAGCATGTTCTCCTCACTGTACTCCGTGCGCAGGAAGGCCCGGGACACGCTGCGGCCCGCAGGGATGTGCATCAGCTTGTCAAAGGACTGCGCCCAGCTCTCCACCTCCTCGGGCTCGGCGTGGCACACGTCTCGCAGCTGGGCAGGGGCTGGATTGAGGGGGCTATGGATTGAGACTTCCAGTCTGTGGTTCTTCCTTATGGCAGCCCCAGCCATCTAATACACCATATTTTTTCCTTCGTTGCTTATCAGCATCTACCACACAGCACTGCAGACATACCACACTCAATGTTTTTTTCATGTGAATTGAATTAATCACTGCATAGTATATGCCTTCCCAATTAGAATGTAAATGACTTTGGAGTCAAATTAAGTTTCAAATCTGCCACTAGCTGAGGGACATTAGGAACGAAAATCTTGAGTTGAAGATAGTGATAATAATCATCTAACTCATGGAAGTATTTTGGTAATTAAATTATGAGATACTATATGTAAGGTATTTAACATAATATTTATTTAAGATATTTAACATAGTACCACTCCATAAGTGCTAACTACTACTGCTGCCATCATTACTATTTTAAACAAGGGGTCTTTGTAAAGTTAATGAAAATGCATCTTATAAAAAACTATTCCAGCATTTCAAAAAATTTTGCACCAAAATAAATTTATCTTTTATTCTATTTTTTCACTCTCTTCTTGAAGTATCCTTGTGTATGTAATAAGAATATGGTGAGGGGCTGGCGCTGTGGCATAGCAGTTAAAGCCATCACTTGCAGTGCCAGCATCTCATATGGTTACCGGTTTGTATCCCAGCTGCTCCACTTCCTATCCAGTTCTCTGCAATGGCCTGAGAAAGCAGTAGAATATGGCCCAAGTCCTTGGGCCTCTGCACCTGATTGGGAGACCCGGAAGATGCTCCTGGCTCCTGCTTCTTATCAGCGCAGCTCCGGCCGTTGCGGTCAATTGCGGAATGAACCAGCAGATGGAAGACCTCTCTCTCTCTCTCTCTAACTCTATCACTCCTTCTCTCTCTGTGTAACTCGTTCAAATACATAAATAAATTTTAAAAAATAAGAATATGGTGAGAGGCCAGCACTGTGGCATAGTGGGTAAAGCCACCAACTGCAGTGTCAGCATCCCATATGGGCACTGGTTCAAGTCCCGGTTGCTCCACTTCTGATCCAGCTCTCTGCTATGGCCTGGGGAAACAGTGGAAGATAGCACAAGTGCTTGAGCCCCTGCACCCACATGGGAGACCCAGAAGAAATTCCTAGCTTCTGTCTTCAGATGGGACCAGCTCCAGCCATTGCAGCCATTTGAGGAGTGAACCAACCAATGGAAGATCTCTCTCTCTCTCTCTCTCTCTCTCTGCCTCTCTGTAACTCTGCCTTTCAAATAAATAAATATGGTGAAACAGATGGAGAAATATATAGTTCATTTTAGTGATCCATCGTAGCTAACTTATAATGTACTGTACATTTGCTTCAGCATCTTAATTATAAGTGAAATGAAAAACATAACATCCAAAGTTCCTCTATAGATGAATGTCCTTTCACTGTGTACTAAAATGTTTTCTGGGAAGAGTCTCAGTGTTTGATTCTCACAACCGAGATTCATTACTAAGAGATAAGTAACTGGTTAGACAAGCCAAACTGCCCGGGCAGTTCCCCAGACTGACAGGCTATTGAGTTTCAGCTTCAGGAGGAGGTCCGTCTGGCTGTAGGGTTTCTGAATAACTAAAACCATTCTAGGTGATATTCTTAACTGGACAGGGCTCACTTGGGACAAATAGATGTAAGCACCCAAATGATTTTGTTACAGTCATCCCAAAAAATGTGATTCTCATACCTGGGTCACTTTACTGATTGGACACAAAATGTTATGGACAACAGTGAGGATATGTGTTAAGGTAAATCGAAAATATCTAAAATAAGATATTGTGGCATGTAGTTAATATATATATATAAATATATTTTTTAATTATTTATTTGAGAGGTAGTTACAGGCAGAGAGAAGAAGAGACAGAGAGAAAGGTCTTCCACCCTCTGGTTCACTCCCCAAATGACCACAATGGCTGGAGTTGGGCCAATCCAAAGCGAGGAGCCAGGAGCTTTTTCTGGGTCTCCCACATGAATGCAAGGCCCCAAGCACTTGGGCCATCTTCCACTGCTTTCCCAGACCATAGCAGAGAGCTGGATTGGAAGAAGAGCAGCTGGGACATGAACCAGCGCCCATATGGGATGCTGGCACTGCAGGCGGAGGCCACAGCTCCAACGCCACATGTTGCTTATATTAAACACACATACATACACATTCAATTAGAATCCCTGTCCTCTGGAATTTCAATGCAAATGTAGACTATTGGAGATAACAGGTGAAATCAGTAAACCTTAGGTAGGGAGGAGAAGGATGAGGAAAGGCAACTACTAGGCAAAGTAGTGTAGTGGAGACTCACTGGCTTCAGCCATCTCTCCTAGAACAAGCCAGGACTGATTTCACGTTTAAGAAACACAATCTGACCCTACCATCTTGGTTTGAGACAGCAGACACTGGCAATGGCGATCACCTCTTCTCGTTCATCCTGTAAGGGTAGGTGAGGAAGTATCTGCATCCCTATGGCCATGTTTCCTCCTAATCAGTCAATAAAACATTCCCATCAGGAGTCTATCAATTGGAATGCTGCTCTCACAACATTCCCGGAGGGTTTGCTCCACTTGAAATGCTGCAAAACAAAAATTACTCTTGCTCTTAGAAATAAGACAACTTCCCATCTTCAGCTGCTCTTCCAGTCCATACAGGCACAGAATCTGCCGAAATCCCCAAGACCTATACTTGAATGCCCTTTACTACCCTTGCTGGATCCTATCTCCAAATTACCCCCAAGATTTCCATCCTCAACTAAGATGACTCCCTAACTGCCCCCTGAAATCCCTGAAATATTGACTCCAGATGAGATGCCATCACCTCTTCCTCCATGTTTCTAATCACGCTCCCCCTCTGAAATCTGGAAGATTACTTAGAAGGCTGAGTTAGATCCTCAGGGATAAACCATTGCAAATCATACTCATTATTATGTTATTATAAACTATATGTTAGAAGTGATTTTACCTATGCCCTGGTGAATGTACTACTTCCTTTTTGTCAGATTCAGAGAACAGGCCTCTGTGACTGAGAATAAATGAAATACGGCTGATGCTGTAACAACAAATGCAGCTTGGCTTCTGCGTTGATATGCTTCTTGACGAAGTGTGCTCACTTGCTCTGATAATTCTGCACCCTATCACCGATTGCTGAGCAAACGCTGTCTTACAAACACCAGGTGGGTCATGGGCTCACTGATAACATCGGAGTATAAACCACTCATAACCCTTCCCATTGAACTTCAGCCAACCACCACACCCACTGCTGCTGATGATGAGAGAAAAACATCTTCCTAGAGAAGCAGAAACCATTTATGGGAATGTTTGAATTGCTGGCCAGTAAACACAGACACTTGAGAAAAGTCAGCCATAAACTGAAAAGCCTGAGTATGAGGGAGTGGGCGGGAAAGAGAACAAGCAGCAGAAGGTTTTCCTGACCTAAGGGTAGGCAGTTTGTACATATTGTGTCTATTTTCATAAATATTTCTACAAGCCACTGGGGCAATGGTTCCCTTTCTGAAAATAAACACTGACTTGTAGATATATAATGCCTCCATTTATAACAGCTATATTTGTACATTAATTTGTGGTCTTTGGCCACCATTTAAAAAATTGTTTACTAAATTAAAAATTGTTCATCTGCTGTAGCAGATAGTTTTGGTCTTCACATTTCATCCTCACAGTCCATCTCTTATTCCTGCTGCAGTTGGGATAGACCTGTCTATGCAAGCAGCCAACATGCCATCTTAATTGTATGCAATTTCTTTGTGCTTTTCTACATCAAGTCCCGGTCAAGAGCTAGCTCATTCATGCAAAAGCACCACCCAGGAGCAGGGTGGAGGTAAAGGCACAGAAGCATACCCCATCAGTGTTGGACTGCAGCTGCTGGCTAAGTGCCCCAACCTCCAGTCCTTCAGATGGGGGGGGGGGGGGTGTTGGGGACAGTTCTGGGAAACCTCCTGCATGCTTCTCAGAGGTCCTTGCACATTTTGCAACCACAGCTGCAACTTCAGTGCTCATCATAATAGTGGCTTCTTTTTCTCTAGCTCATTCTCCATGTTCCTTCCCGGCTGGTTCCTGGATTCCCCTCCCTACTAAACTACCTGCTCCCAACTTCCCATCTCAGATTCTGCTTTCAGGAGAACAAAACAGAGATTAAAAAAATACCTTAAAATATGCAGAATCTATACGGAAGACATTTGGATAGCGAAAAAAACAACTTGGGAAAAATGTCACCTAATCATTAAACAGCATTCATTTATCACTTTCCAAGTGCTACAGATTGTTCTAGGTTCTGGAGGCACTACTCCAGAAGCCACATGTTAAAAGTAAGTGTTTACTGAGCTAACAGAATTGTGCCTAACACATTTCAAGTGTTATATGTATGTTAAATAAATAGAAAATAGATAAATGTATTAAATCAGGTGATTATCAATTGATTTAAGCCATCTCTCAGCTTTTCAATAAAACCTGAGAGCTTTTCAATTAATCATTTTATTTTTGATAACTACAGTGAATGGAGTTGTAAGAAATAATAGCAGAGAGATCTTATATATCATTTATAAAAGTAGATTAATTTTTAATTAACTACCAATCAAGATAATTCAAATCAAATTATCTGGATCTTTATTTTTAATTTTACCTGCAACATAGGGTTAAGTGATTTTTTCCTAATTGAGGTAAAATTCAAACAACAAAAAATTAACCATTAAAAAGTGTACTGTGGCATTGAGGATATTCACAATATTGTGCAATTATCATCCATATCAAGTTTGAAGACATTTTATCAACCCAAAGAAAAAGAAAAAAAAAAGAAAAACCCCATACCCAATAAGCAGGCACATTCATCTCCTTCTTAAATCCCTGTTTTCTTCCCTTATAGATTTACCTAGTTTGAATACGTCCTATAAATAGAATAGTAAAAAATGTGACCTTTTGTGTCTA